CTCAATTGTTTTTTACAATTTGAAGTTGTTTTGTGTAGTTTACAATTCAAAATTTTTTAGAGATTGAAGTTCTTTTATGTTTTTTTTTGCAAATTTTTTTACAGATTTTTTACAATTTTGAAAACAAATTACATTGATAGATTAAGACATATAGGTCCTTAGAGTCAGTTAATACTTGATATGCAGTAAGCATTTAAGCTATGTTAGCCTTTAGCCGGTGGTATTAGCTATTGGTTACCTATTATTGATGAATTCAGAGACTAGACCCTGTTTAGGAAGTAGTGAATGTTAGCAATTAGCACGAGATGTTTGTTGAAACCCCTCTAGTTCTTTTTACAGATTTTTTACACATTTTTTTACAATTTTTTTAGAATTCAATTGATTCCCCTGTTTTGAACCAAACACGAACAAAGGGAATTCTATTCCCTTTCGTGCACTGGACCAAACAGATAGAGTAATTCAGGGGTAATCATTCCCTTTCCCCTTGATTCCCTTTCCTGTTTCCTTTCCCTTCCCTTAGCATGAACCAAACGCCCCCTAAATAGTGATTGTTTTGAACCCTACCGTTGATAATCAACTAGATTTTAACCCGTGCGATGCACGGTCAGAATATTAAAATAATAAGTTAGGATATGTAAAATATATGTAGTAATAACACAATATTACTTTTTTCAATATTTTCTCTGTTCTTGAGTATTTTTTGGTTTTGAATTTTTATAAAATTATTTTTGTATTAGTATCCAATATTATTTTTATTTAATTTATGATCAAAGCTTGTTAATTTTGACCGAAAAAATTAAAACTAAAAAGATATGCAAGGACCGAAGGAGGATAGGTTACTATCGAGATAATACCAATGCTTGTAGTATTTACTGTCGAACAATAGTGTCGAATAAAAATAAAACAAAAAATATTATAAATTTTAAAAAACTTTTTTATGCGCAATATTCCAAGTGTGATTAAAGAATTATTTTCTTTGTCGTTAGTTAAAATCTTCAATCCTTGTTAATTTGTTAGATTTGAGATAGTGGCTTTCAATAGGGTACATTTACTAATCCATAACGATACTTATTACGTGAAACACAGAGTAAAGTAATAAATTATCAGAATCAATAATCTTCAACCTATATTCTCCATTCAAAACCTCCCATGAATTGTTGGACAAATTAAGTTATGTTTTTTTCTTCAGGTATTTATTGACTTATTACTTATAAGCCTTTTTAAACTTATAAACTGATTATAAGTTAAATATTTTTTATGTATATAAAATGATTTAAATGATATATAAGTATTTGGAGATATTCATAATCTGGTTAAAACAGGGAAACAAAAAAATTAGCTTAAACATTAGTACGTTTTAGGAGTAAAAAGCGTAGTCATATTGGCACAGTAAAATTGGCCGAAGGTGAAAATGAAAGACTGATCTTGAAGAAAACAAATATGGAGACTGATGCAGAAGAAGAATGCATATATGCACAAAGATAGTCTCTGCCATAGTAAACGACTCATATTTGAATCACAACAAATAAGACACCATTTTGTCACAAATACAGAAGAGATAATTCAAAAATTTATTGCTCGAGAGTCGAGAAAGGAAATCAATGAAGAAAATTCCGAGCTAATGAGAGGCTGAGTCAGCAAAATAATACTGTAGCACACATTTCCATATGGATCGACATTGAATCTTTTAGGACCAAAGCTTGCATTCCTGGAATGTTGCAGTAAACCCAATTTTACTAAGATTCATGTTGGAATTACAAACACATGAAAAAAGTAAAAATACAGGGTTCAATTTTTAAGGATGATGAGAACGTTAACAATTAGTAAAAGAGTATTACAAACCTTCCTTTGATACTGAGTAGGTGGTTCATTCCATTGTTATTACTCCAAAATCTGAGAAGAACTCTTTACTTATACTGGTTCTTGATCTTGGCCTTTTCTTAATGCCCAAAAAATTCAGAGTTGAACCATAAGATAAGATACCTTCTTTTGAGAACAATAGTTGCTAGAGAAGGGTCAATCTTTGTTTTTTATTCCATGAAATAGTGAGGGAAAACATGGGAAACAACTCTTTGAGTACCCTTCAATTCTTCATTTTCGCCATTTAAAATAGTCAAAAAAGCCATGTGCAAAGGCAATAAAATATAGGGATCAACCTAGATTTCCTCTGTATTTTCTAGCTTCTTTACAATACAAAAATAAGTTACTTCCTTCGTATGTAAAAGATTGTAACAGTTTGACTTTTTTTAATCAAACTGTGGCAATCTTTGACCGTGAGTTATGGAAAAAGTATACTTAACTATAATGTAAATTTAATAGAATTGGGTTTATTTTAAAATATAGTTTTGAAATATCAAATTTTTATAATATTTAATTATTTTAAACTATATGTAGTTCGTGGTCAAAGAGTGCCACAATTTGACCAAAAAGTCAAACTCTGAAAATCTTTTAGGGATGGAGGGAGTACCTTATATCATACCTTGTTGAGGCAAAGATGGATAAAAACTGGTTTATGGACAACCAAACTTGGAGATCCCATCAAAGCAAGAGAAATTCTAGCTGGTTTTTCTTTTTTTCTTGCACACTTGCTATCATAATATTCTTAGATTACTCGGAAAAGTTAAACCCGCTCCTGCATTATTTTTAAAGTAATCAAAGAGAAAAAAACAAACTAATAAAAAACTAAGGCAATAGATATAAATAATGGCAAACTTCAACCACAAATACAGAGCATAGAACTCAAAAGGGGACAAAAGAATTGAAACTATGTTGAACACAAAAAGAGATTTGAGTTTTTTTAGGGATGATAAGAGCTATGATATAGAATATCTGGTCTTTGAGGGATCTTGCAAGAGCGCCATAGGTTTCCAAATTGTTGTTTGTGTAGGACTTTGTTAGTTTCATTAAAGTATCCATAAGAGCTATAGAAATGTTCGATTGTATAGTACAGGAACTTCCGCAGAGCCAAAAAAATAAGGCAAAGAACTATACACAATCAAACAATTGCCTCGGCTTGGACTTGAGATGATGTATTTGGGTGGAAATCATGTACTTCTTCAAGAACCGACAGGGGAGATTGTTGTAGCATAACAACAACAACAACAACAACAACGCCAACAACTGGAAAAATGAACGGCAACAACTCTGATAGCAACAACAACAACTAAAGTAATAGAATGATATACGTTATAAGAAATTGAAACACAATCAACATTTATAACTGTAACTTAAAACATTCACTACAAAAAATGTAAACTAAACATAAAATTATCTATTAATGGATAATAAAATTTAAAAAATCTGAAAATAAAAATGTACGAAGCAATAAAAATAAAATTGAAACTTATACCTCTGGAGTGCTTTCTTGGTTTTGTTGTATGGTTCCCGTTCAACTGCGTTAAAAATGCAGGTCTTGCTCAGAAGTCATATCTGCCGCAACTCCTCAGTCAGATCTAGGGTTTTGCGCTCAATCTAAATCCCAAAATCAAAGGTTGCCGCAGTCGCCTTCATCTATCTTCTTCATTCGTCATCGACTCTTATGCGGATAGAAGGCTAGGCAGAAAAAAATTAGATGAGAGAGAAAAGAAAAGAAGGCAACCTTCACGATTTTACGGTTATTGTTCATTTGAGCGGGATGAATTTTCCTTTTGCTGTTGTAAAGGAACTATGCACATTATAATTTTTGAGATTTGACTTCTCACATCGAGCGTGCCCTAACCTATAGAATTCACGGATGAATTTCAATTATATGGTTTCAGGCTTCAGCTCATCAAGCTTTAAAAACCCCTGGCCCTCACCCTCTGCTCCTCTCGTGATCGAACCATCAAATTTGAGAGGCCCCGGACCACAATTGGAAACCTGGAACAGGAGACTAGACCAGTCCAAGGAGGTGAGGAGAGCTACAAATTCACATTCAGCGCCAGATCTTTTGTTGATTTTTCTAAGTAGACGACACTGTTCTGCTAATTAGATCTTGTCAATTTTGTCTTTATATTGTTTTTACTCATTCCATATGCGTATTAAACTGTTATTGATTGTTTAGTGTTTTTGCAGCTCATAACTAGGCGCTTTTCAGTATGGATGAGTACCAGGAGGCAGAAAAATTCGGTATGGAGAATGACTACGAGGGTGGACAGTGGATTGCTGGTGAGTATTACTACCGTGCACGCAAGGAGAAGCGTGTGCAGAGCAAGGATGACATTCTGTATGGTGTGTTTGCATCTGGAGACAGCGATTCAGACTACGAGGGGAACGGATTAGGTTCCTCAAAGAAGAGGAGGAAAGATTTTTCTAAGAAGCCAGACCTCACCAAACCTGTTAACTTTGTCTCCACGGGCACTGTAATGCCCAACCAAGAAGCCGACCGTGATCGCAACGAGGAGGATCTGAAAAAGAGTGCAGAGGATGTTGATGATAGGCCGTCTGTTCTGGGGGTTGGAGCAACATCTTCTGGTGCAGGATTTGCTTCAAAAACCAGTGATGGGGACGTTGATAATGACTTTGAGACCTTTCTGCCCTCTGCTTTTGGGAAGATGATCCAGAAAGGTGCACTTTTGAGAAAGGATAAGGAAAAGGAGAAGTCTATCCAACTCAAAAAGTCATATCAATCTGGGAGAAGAGAAACAGAAGCAGGTGATGTTGGTGTTTTTGAAAAGCATACCAAAAGAATTGGGATGAAGTTGCTTGAAAAGATGGGTTATAAGGGAGGTGGCCTTGGGAAGAATGAACAAGGCATCACCGCTCCCATTGAAGTGAAGCTGCGACCTAAAAACATGGGAATGGGTTTCAATGACTACAAAGAGACTGCTGCACCAAAACTTGAGGAATCTGAAGCAAAATCTGCCCCCACGAATGTGCAGCCATTGAAAAGCCACATAAAAGAGAAGCCTTGGCTGAAGAAAGCTTCAAGAAAGAGGGCTTATACCACGGCAGAAGAGTTACTGGCCAAGAAGCAAGAGCAGGGACTTGACGTAGTTCAAAAGGTGTTCGACATGAGGGGCCCACAAGTTCGGGTTTTGACAAACCTAGAGAACTTAAATGCTGAAGAAAAGGCAATGGAAAATGATATTCCTATGCCGGAACTTCAGCACAATATCAGACTGATTGTTGATCTAGCAGAACTCGACATTCAAAAAATTGATCAAGATTTGAGAAACGAGAGGGAGCTTGTGGTTGCTTTACAGAAAGAGAAGGAGAAACTCCAAGCTGAAGCTGTTTCCCAGAAAACACAGCTTGAAATTATGGAATACATTGTGAATGAATTGGACCGGATGGATGAAGAAAGTAGAAGTGGCACATTGACTCTTGACTCACTTGTGAAGTCATTTCTATATCTGCAACAACATTATGCTGAAGATTATAAGATTTGTAACTTGTCAGCGATAGCATGCTCATACGCTATGCCTCTATTCATTCGAGTGTTTCAGGGATGGGACCCACTTGAAAATCCAACTTATGGATTAGAGGTTGTTTCATTGTGGAAAGATCTGTTGGAAGATCACTCTTTTGGTTTCTCTGATATGGCATCTCCTTATGCTCAGTTGTTTATGGAAGTAATTTTTCCAGCTGTAAGAATATCAGGGACCAACTCTTGGCAGGCAAGAGACCCAGAACCCATGCTTCGATTTTTGGATTCCTGGGAAAAGCTGTTGCCTCCTGTTGTTCTACACACCATTCTTGATAACGTTGTTTTGCCTAAAATATCAGCTGCTGTTGACTTATGGGATCCCCGTAGGGAGACAGTTCCAATCCACTCTTGGATTCATCCATGGCTGCACTTGTTGGGTCAGAAGCTGGAAACGTGCTATCCCACAATACGTTATAGATTGGAAAGTGTACTTCATGCGTGGCATCCAAGTGATGGCTCTGCGTACTACATACTGTCACCATGGAAGAATGTGTTTGATCCAAGCAGCTGGGAAAAACTCATGGTAAGATCTATCCTCCCAAAGTTATTGGCTGCCATGCATGAATTCCAAGTAAATCCCGCAAAGCAGAAACTTGAGCAGTTTAACTGGGTCCAAACTTGGGCTACTGATATTCCAATCCATCACATGCTTCCACTATGGGATATCTTCTTCAACAAGTGGCACCAAGTCCTGTACCACTGGTTATGTTCAAACCCACTCTTTGAAGAAGTGACCAATTGGTTTTTGGGTTGGAAGAAGCTTTTCTCTCAAGAACTTCTCGCAAATGAACATATACGATATAGGCTCAATGTAGGTCTGGAAATGATGACGCGGGCAGCGGAAGGCTTGGAAGTGATGCAGCCAGGTACAAGAGAGAATATAAGTCATCTTAGGGCGCTCGAACAAAGGCAGTTTGAGACCCAGAAAAAGGCTGCAGCGCATGGTCAACAGCATGCCTCTACAAACTTCAGCAGTGGGCTCCATGGAGAGGGTATAAGCAGTGGAACAGAGATAAGCATGAAAGAAGTAATTGAAGCTCATGCACAACATAATGGTTTGCTGTTCAAACCAAAGCCAGGCAGGATGCAGGATGGTCATCAAATTTATGGTTTTGGTAACATAAGCATAATAATAGACTCCTTGAAACAGCAGGTATTAGCGCAAGTTGAGGACAGATGGTCTTTGGTTTCTCTTGAACAGCTTTTGGAGCTACACAATCGATATGGCTTGAAGAGGCGATGACTAAAGCACCTGATCTTTGGCAGTTGTCCAAATTACTTCGTTGACACAGGTTTTCTCAACGTCTTGTGCTTTTATGTGTAAATTGAGTAGTCATGAATCAAGATCAGAATATCAGATATGCTTAAAGTGCTTATTTGCCATTTTACTTTGCTGTTGTTTAAGTTGAGTTCATTATACTGTCTTCAGCCATGTTATTTAGCATAACTCTTGAAGTGTTTTAAGAACTTTGGTATTAAACTGTCTTCAGCCCTGTTAATTTAGCTAAACTCTCAAAGTGTTCTAAATAACTTTTGTTTAAAACTGAGAGATCAACGGATTTCCAAAACGAAATACACCAAAAGTGCATTTCACATGTGCCAGAAACCAATAGTGACACTTTTTGAGTGTCACAAGTTGCAAACCTATTCAAAAGCTGGATTTGCAAAAGAAGTTTTTCTTGAAAATGATGATGCTGCTGCTTTTGGAATAAGTTAATCTGATAGTTTGGACAACCATGAGAGTTTTGACATTGAGATAGAACATTTTGCAAGAAAGTATAAAAGAAAATTGAAACAATCTCTTGGGCAAGAAATCTTCTTAAAATATGTACTTTGAAGATTTTGAGATTGTTTCAATTTTGTATTCAGTTTAGGAGAGTTTTGTTGGATGGGGGAGCATTTTGGTGTTTACTTGCTTCTGATGGAAAGTGCCTTATGTATAATATATGAAAAATGCTAGGAGTACACCAAAGATGTACCCCATTTGTCCCCCACTTCCTCTATTACCACAAAAATGGGCAAGAAACTTAAAAAAATTAAATAAATAAAAATGGGATAAAAATAGCTTTTGCATATAATATATGTATACAACAATAGCTTTTGCATTACATCTGACCCACCTACACGCTTAAAATACTGTTTCTGCTGTTTTGGATGATTTTCGACAAGTACACAAATTATACTCGTTTTTATTTGCACTGCATAATACGAAGTATAATTATTATAACCTCTAGTATTTTATGAATCTTGTTATTATTAACATTAAACTTGAAAAGAGTAGTTTTGTATATTTTAATGATCTTTTGCATATTGCTTTCGTTCTTGTGTATTTGTCTAGTTTTGACTTTTGCTGCCAAAATTGACAAATTTTGACCACTAATTAAATAAAATTGATATTAGATATTAATATAAAAGTAGTTTTATTAGGTTTATTCTATAAGTAATATCTTCAAAAGTTTTTTTATCTAATTAATGTATCATATAATTTTTATTTAATTATACAAAAAATTGTGAACATGTACCTTCAGTTGTATGATAATAACTACTGAGTACCCTTAATTTTAAAAATACTGCCAAGTACCTCAAATTATTCGAAAATGTACCAGCAGGAGCCATCGGTCAATTCCTCTGTTAATTTTGACTTCTTCATCATCATCATCATCATCATCCACATCATCACATATTCATCATCATCATCATTTGATTTCCCTCCTCGGATCCAAACCCCCATCCCTCCCTTTTTTTGTTTTTTATAATTATTATTATTAATAAAATTAATTATTGTTTTACTATTTTTTGAGGAAAATATTGTTTTACTACTCTAATTCTAAAAAAATACTAATGCCCTACCAAAAAAATTATATACCCTCAATAATCTTTCTCAATCTCTACTTGGGTAAAAAAAGACTAAAGTATTTTAAATCTTTAATAAAAATAAGTTTTAATGATCAATTTATGTACTCTCTACGTCCCAAATTTGAATACAAATTACAATTTACGAGGTAAGATACCGTTTCTTTTGAAATCATTTTATTTAAAAATTGTTACATCAATAAAAATAAAAAATACATATTAAAAAACTACATCAAAAGACAAAAGTTCTATAAGATAAGAGGTGACAAGAATATTTTATTTTATCAAATAATCAATGAAAATACACAAGTAAACAAAATTTATCGAGAGGTGAGAGAAAAAAGATTGAAATCAAAATTGGAGAGAAAGTATAATTTATAAATTTAAAATTGTTTACTCCGATATTTAAAAAGTATGAGATTTTACACATTATTCGAAATTTATTTGCACTATACTAACAGTGTGTAGAATCTCATATTTTTTAAATGTGATTTTATCTATAAATTAGTACTCGTATAAAAATAATTTTGGGACATACATATAATAAGACAAATTTACGCTACGTATTTTAATGACAGAAAGAGTGTTAAATTTTATTGACAGAAATTTAACTTTTGTGGTGTTTAATGATAGAAATAGTGTTAATTTCATCTTATTATTGTAAATTATAACGTACTGCATGTTTGCATATATTAATATTATATAGCTAATAAAATACCAGAGTAAACAATTTTAAATTTATAAGTTATACATTAATTGATCATCAAAATTAATTTTTATTAAAAATTTAAAATACTTCCGTCCTTTTTTTAGCCAAGTGGAGATTGGGAAAGGCTGTGGGGAGTATATAATTTTTTTGGTGGGCACTAGTGTTTTTTAAAATTAGATGTAGTAAAGCAATAATTATGATGATGAAATTAACGGAGTAATTGATGGCGTTAGTAAGTTTTCTAATAATTTGAGGTACCTGACAGTGTATTTTTAAAATTGAGAGTACCTAACAGTTTTTATCACAAAACTATGAGTATCCAGTAACATTTTTTGTTAATTATTGTATTATATGTCAAAAGTTACAAATGATTGACTGTAAAAGATCAAAACTGAACAAGTACTAGACATGGAAAATAGTACTCCGTATATTTTAATTGTTAATGAGGAGCATTAGTATTACATGATGGTGACGAGGTATATTTTGAAAAAAATTATCCAAACTTTGATGTGCATTAACAAGAAATAAAATTAACCAGACAAATTTTCCAATGGACTGGAATATACAAAAGAGCATATTATTCAATTCTCGAAGAGATAATATTATCAATACATATCCACACCCGAGTTTATTGCACCAATATTCCTCGTGGTTCGAAAAATGTGCACCGTTATCTCCTATAGTTTCAACACTTATGTCATTGTCCCTTGTGGTTCTAATAATGTTACGCTAATTGTCCAACTAGACAAAAATATCTTTCAAATATTAGGTGAATATCTTCGCTTCGTTGCCTCCTATGGTTTTTGAAATGGGCGCCCACGCCAACTCTCCTTTTTCTTTATTATTTTTATTTTTTATTTCTCTTATAAAGAAAAGAAAAATGTTTGTGTGTTAAATAATGAAAAATTGTTTGAAGTGAATTGAGCCCAACTATGTCCCTTCAGTAACTTATTCCTTCTATTTCCAACACACGTATATGTCCATATCCATCCCTTTATTCTTCTTTTTTAATTAATCTTTAGTTCTGCTTCTTTTATTAATTAATTTACAAATTGAAGTATTAAATAAATTTTTTACTAATAAAATCCGCATTTGGTAAATCTTAATTTTTTATGAATTAAATCTGTACATATTTAACAATAGATGTCTTAAATATGATTTTTGCATTTTTTGTAATTATAGTAGACTTTTATTTTTTTATTCTTTCATAATTAAATTAAAATTTGTTAAAGGAAAAGAATATTAGGAAATATTTGTGTATATATTGTTTTGATAGTTTTCCTTGTATAGGGATTCTTTCCTTTTCCTTTACTAATTAGGAGTCTCAACTTGTGAGATCCTATATATATGGCTTCATTGTAAATTGTAAAAGGGAACAAGAAATACAAGAGAATTTTCACCAAATTAATTCTTTCATGGTATCAGAGCCAAAACCGTAGAGGATTTCCGCAGCTACTGTGCACCGATCGCCCGGCATCGCGTCCAGCGATCGTCACTTGGTGTTGCTGCCGAAATACCGGCATCGCGTCCGAACGGTCGACCGTCGGGATAGGAACGGTCAAAGGCGTCGACCGTCCCGACGGCTGTTTCTTTAGTTGCTACAACGGTTCGATCCATTGTTAGCCCCTGTCGTCCGATATGTCTGAAGAGGCATCCATGAAGATTATTTTCAGCAAGAAAAATGAGGAAGTAGAGAAAGAGGGGTATTCACCATTGCCCAATTTCGAAGATCTAAGTATGGAGCAGTGGAATGCTGTTCGTTACGCTCTTGCACTATCCCCTACAGACATCAATCAGAAACTTACAGGTATTTCTGTGTCACCACATTGGATTATCGATACGGGTGCATCAAACCATATGACAGGTGATCTTTCGTTATTATATGATGTGGTGGGCGTGGGTTACCCAATGGAAAACGGGTAGTGTGTGTTCAATCTGGAAAGGTTGATTTCAGGGCCGGTCCTGAGGATTCATCAGCCTAGGCCGAAACAGAAAAAAGGCTCTAAAAATCTTTTATTTAATGGTCTAAAAAATTCACATATGTAAACTAATTATATCTAAATTATAATTAACGCAATATTATTAAAAGGAAAAAATAAATGACAAAATTAAAGTATTATAATTACATACCGTAAAAGCTAGCCGAGGATTCGAGAAGTTCTCCTTGCATTCTTGAGAGCAAATTGGTTGATCACATCTTCACAGTCTATGCTCTCTAAGATTTCATTCTCGATAGCTATTACCGCCAATCCACTAAGTCTATCTTGGGACATTATAGACTGTAAGTAAGATTTCAAGAGCTTCAACTTGGAAAAACTTCTCTATGCAGATACCACCGTTACTGGAACAGTAAACAAAATTCTATATGCAATGCAGGCATTCTGGTAACAACCAAGTTCTTTTAAATACTTCAAAACATCTATGGGATTGCTAAATTCACTTGTTTGTAATGTGTTGAATGGTTTCAACTCCATGTAAAGCTCTTCGGCATCAATATCTGATCTTTCTTCAAACTTGAGTGCATTTTCAAGTTGATGGCAAAACAACTTTAGCTCTTTTTCTTCAATTCCACTCAGCTTATGTGGAAACAAAAACCCAAATAATCTCTCATAGTCTTTGAATTGTTCAAATCTCATCTCAAGAGAAGATATGGCTTTATCCACAACATAAGAGAAGAAATTGACCCTAAAATTCTCTTCATTTGTAAATGAAACTTCTTCGCTGCTTGAACTCTCATCAACTCTTTTTTTCCTTCGAATCAAACGCTTTTCTGGAAATATCGGAGGTATATCCATTTCAGAAGCTATCTCCTTTGCTTCATCAATTGCTTTTGAATAACCAGCTTCTCTATAACCCTTGAAGTAGTCAATCAATCCATTTATCTCTTTAATAGCAATATCAAGATGCATATCATTTGATTGTAACTTCTTGCTCACTATATTTACCTGGTTTAATATTTGATACCAAATAATAATTGATACCAAAAACTCAAATTCACACAGGTTTTCTGCTAGTGACTTTGGCGTATGAACATCTGTATTATCACTATCTTTTTCCTCAACTTCAAGCAAAGCTTCTCATACATCGGCAAGTTGCATTCTAATTGCCTTAATACTCTCAACACGACTTTCCCAACAAGTTTGAGATAATGGCTTAAGACTCCAACCTTTAACATTATCTTTCAAAATTTGCCACAGATTAATTGAATGTGCAAAGATAGTATAAATTTTTTGGATGGCTCCAAAAAATTCTTCCCTTTAACACAACTCTAAGCCATATCACATAATGTAAGATTAAGAGAATGACAACCACAAGGAGTGTAAAATGCTCTAGGGTTGACATCCAAAAATCTTTTTTGAACTCCTTGATGTTTTCCTTTCATATTTGCCCCATTATCAAAACCTTGACCACGATTATCATCAATTTCAAGATCAAGAGACTTTAACTCCTCAATTGTGACATCAAATAGTCCTTTTCCTGTGGTATCATTAACATTCAAGAAGCTTAAAAAGAACTCTTCCACAGTAATAGAATTACCTGAGAAGTTTAAATACATCACTATCATACTCATCTGTTCTTGGTGACTTGTATCAGGGGTACAATCAAGTATGATTGAGTAGTACTTGGCTTCCTTTATCTTCTTGATGATTTCCTTCTTAATCTCTTGGGCTAAATCAAGTATGAGTTCATTCAGTATCTTGTGCCCGAGATAATGCACATGAAGCTCATCATTTGTGATTCGTCGCACATGCTCTCGAATAATTGGATCAAACTCTTGTAACATCTCAATGACACCCAAGAAATTTCCATTACCTGTTAAAAAGTAAACACAATTAAGAAACATGACACTTTATAAAAGTGGAACATTTAAAAGTAAAACATTTTTAACTCCTTACCTTTTTGATACAATCTTTCTTTTGAGCCACAGAATGCTAAATTATGTTTAGCCAAAAACTTCACTATTGCTATGATTCTGAAAATGACTTGTGTTGGGGACTTGTCGTGAGGTCCAAAACAAATTAAAAATTTATAAATAACCTTAACTAACCTCCAAAATATAATCAAATAAAAACTATAGCTAGGGCAAGTAAGGGTCGATCCTACGGAGAAAGTTTGTACGTTTTCAAACCAATTTAGCATGCAAACACATTGTCAAAAAATTAAAACAAATAAAAGCATACTAACTACTACACATATGATAAAACTTATAAAACTTATAATAGAACTTATTCAAATAAACATAAGAACTTATAAATAATTATATAAACATTGAACTTATAATATAACTTATAAACAAAACAAATACCTAAGTATATAAAAGTATAAAAACTTATATTTATAACTTAAAACACAAAGGGGGGTTGGATGAAAAGTAAGTATTTTTTGGTTTTTTATATTTTTCTTATTTTTTTTTGGTTTTTTTAATAAAAATGGGGGAAAACAAGCTCAAAAGATAATCAACTTTTCCAACTAAGGTAACCCAAGAAACACCGCCAAGAACCCGAAACAAAATTAAAAAGAGAACGAACACAAATAGAACATTACACGTATAATAGGCACTTAGACAATATATTACGTAACTTACGCACTTAAGAATAGAAAAGAATTCAAAGGCTCGAGTTGATTCATATCCTTGACCACATATAGAGGATCGTCAACTCTCTATAAGGCCCGGAGTCAANACTTTGAACCCCCACTCACCTCAAGCGCTCAAACAATGATTCCAAAAGATGAAAAAGTTTATAAAAGAGCGAATCTTTCTTTCATTCTAACTCCCATGCACAAAGTATTCATGAAGAACATTTGATACACTTTAATAAACTTTAACGTCTAATGATGAAAATATTTTGCAGGTCTCCTTGAACTACTCAAGCATAAGAATTGTAATCTATTCACATAAGAAAAACATTACATATTTTCATTAAATCAAGAGTTGTTTATTGCGCTTAAACAATCCTAATTTTTATGAAAATAACAAACAAGAACACCAAGACATAAACAATCACTTTATAACGAATCTTAAGGAAGACGTTCAACTTATGTGGCTAAGAAGTTCATTTACCTTAAAATTTTACAAAACACAAGTCACAAAAGAGATTCGCGTATGAATTCTAGAATCATTTAACTAAAATATGGAGCTAAATTAGCTTCAATGATAACTGAATTTGACATACCAACCTACTTATGAAATCAAATTCATAATTCAACCAATTCAATCAATTTTCATTCATAAGGAATTTAATATAGTATTAAAAAAACATAAAAGAACACCAACCATTTTTGAATTTTTGAAATTCACACAACAAGAAAAAAAATGTAAATTTGAATTGAAACAACACTTTTACAAAGAAATTGGAGGAGAAAATTGAAGAAATAACATATAAGGTTACCAATTAGAGGAAGAAGATGAAGAAATTGAAGAATTGGAGCTTGAAGAAACCGCCGCTAGTCGCCAGAGCTTTTGCCGCCGCCACCTGCCATCGTAGAACGCCGGCGACCCGTCGTTGGCCGCCGTCTGCAGCTCCACTGGTGGGTTGCGTCAATAGCAGCGGCAAGAGCCGCTGCTCTGTTATTTCTGTATGATTCCCCCCTCTGTTGTTCCCCCATTTGAATTGTGCAATTTGCTTTCAATTTATAGCACGGAGAGAGTTTTCCCGTTGAGAATTCGAGTGATATTGGAGCCGTTGGAGAGTTATTTAACGCAGCATTGATAGAGAGACGTTGGAGGAATTGGTCTTCAACCTTGGAGTTGTCTTCGCCGTTCGTTTCTCTTTTGACGAAGAACAAACATCGTTTCTTTCTTTTCTCTTTTTTTATTTCATTGATGGATCATAATTGGATGGGCTCAACACTTTTTTGATATAGGGTTTGGGCTCTGACCCAAATTCAATCTCTTTTTCCAGACTTGATCTTCCATTTGGCTTTCTGCTATATTTTTCTCCAAAAATAAGATATCTGATAATTTTGAGTTAGGGAAAAATAAAATGAAATAATATAATGTAAAAAAATGATTAAAAAAACTACTATTTTTGAAAGAAAATTAAAAGATTGTAAAAATGAGAATTAAAATAAAACTAAGCTAAACAACTAAAAATTAAACACTAAAAATGTTTAAAATGCCTAAAATTGAATAAAAAGAACTAACCCAAACCCGAGTTATCAAATACCCCCACACTTAAGACTTGAACGTCCTCGTTCAAGGGCCAAAAAGAATATATTACTCCCTCCGTCCTATAATGATCTTCCCAGAACACTATTTCAACTTCACGGGAATTTATATTTATTTGTGTTTTTCATGGCCTATATGATAAAATAAAATATTCTTGTCACCACTTGTTTTGTTGAACTTTTGGTGTAGTTTTTAAATATGTATGTTTTATTTTTTATTTCTATACCAATATTTAAATAAAATAGATTGAAAAAACTTGGGATTTTTCTTCGTTTTGCGAACCGAGAAGATCATTATAGGACGGAGGGAGTATTTCTTTTTATCATCATCAAGAAAAACAAAGTGAACTTTAAACCCCCCCTATAAGGATGGAGAACTAAGATGTGGATTTTTTTGGGTTCTAACAAACGCTCTAAAGCTGCTACAAAAAAGTTTTCTAGGGGAGTCCTATGGTTTTGAACGACTCAATAGAAGCAGTAGAAAGGTTCATCAATAAGCCTAAAAATATAAAAATCACACAATTTCTCTAAAAATAAAGGGCTCCTAAAACTCATTTCTCTTTTCTTTTTTTCAAATTTTAATATCAAAAAATGGTTGATTAGGCAGCATCTAGATAGTATGTGGATGACCAGTTCTAGAAAACAAAATTCTATGGTATTCCTAGAAGGATTTCAAACATTTTAAGGTCATTTTTTACCAAGAAAAGAGCATAAGACTCAATGCGGGTTTATAAAGTATACACTTGCCATCTTTCAGAATAAAGCCCCAAGGAAAACAATGAGGTTTTTGGGTCAATTTTGAAAACAAAGCTCTAAATAAGAAGATTTGCAACTAAGAATGAAAATATTTGGACCCAAAACCTATTTTTTTGAAAAAATTTTGCCCCAAAAGTTTTTTTTAAGTAATGACACAAGCATGAGCAACCCCCCCCCCCACACTTAAAATGTGCATAGTCCCCGATGCATCTATATGGTATGCAAATGACAATATTAAGCAAGCACAGACTTAGCAAAGAGAGAAGGGGAGAGGGGAATGCAACTAAAAAACAAAGTACACGCAGCATCAACTCATCACTTTTCCCTCCTTAAAGTGCTCGATAGACCTAAAATATGCAAAAACATGACTAAGACCAAGTCTTTTAGTATTGACAAACTAAAAATCATATTCAAAGAAATGCAGATTTCAAGCTTCAAGTCAGGTTCCTGAAAATAGATTCTTGTGCTCTTTTGCATTTTCAAAGCAGAATACTGTATGTGAGACGGTTAGTTATGTCATGCACGCGCAAAGCAGCTCATATGCATCTATTAAACATCAAAAATCAGATTGAACATCAAGAAAAGATTGCAGATTTTTTTCTATTTCAGCACCTATAAGCTGTAAAAAGTGTAAAATTGTCATTTTGCACTCAAAAAATCAGCTTACAAAGTGCCTAAATAACTTTTCAAAATGCAAAACTTTTCATTAGTATCCAAGAATCAGCTGTAAACAATGCACATGTCTCAATTTTCAGACTACTTTTTTAACACCCAGGCCTTAAGGAACTGGAAACTCACAACAAAGCAACCTTTAGGTGTTTGAAATTGCTGTTTTGGATCAGAATTTTGCGCATTACCATGCAGATATTTACCATTTAAGCTCAAGAATGAGATCACAAAGGCATACTATTTGGTTTGCAAGCAAAAATCAAAGTGCAGATTTCCAGCATATTATACCAACAGAAACCAAACTTCGAACACAAAAGGGTTAAGGAGACCAAAGCACAAACCTGAGATACTGATTTGGATCAGATTTCACACCTGTCTATGCAGATTTTTACTCCACAGGGCATGCTTCCACCTATGACTTAATAGCCCTTGCGTTTTCACTCAAATAAATGGTTAGAAGCATAAATGGAGCAAAATAAACCATTAAATCCAGTAAATGCAGCAGTATTCTGAGTACTCCTGATGATGAAGTTTTTTCATTTTTTGATTTTTTTTATTTTCTGTTTTTATGATTTTTTGTTTGTATTTTTAACAAAAGCTAAAGATTAATAAGCAAAAAATAATAAAAATTAAAGAAAGAGCAAGAAGAGTAGGTGGGTTGCCTCCCATAAGCTGCCCGGTTTAACGTCCTTGGCTAGACGAAACTAGGAAGAGTCCTAAGGTTCGACTTCTAGTTCTAACTCCTCCACTAATCCTGCAAATCCTCCCTCACGAAAGAGTTTCAACCTATGTCGATTAACTTTGAAAATTACTCCAGAGGATTGGCTCTTAATGTCTACCGCTCCATGGCTATAGGTTTTAATAACGGTGTAGGGTCCTAACCATCTAGAGCTAAGTTTTCCTGGAAAAAGCCTAAGCTTAGAGTTGTAAAGAAGAACTTTATCTCCTATCTCAAAGTGTTTTCTAGAAAGCTTAGAGTCATGAAAGGCTTTTGCTTTATCCTTATATATTACTGAATTATCATAAACTTCTAATCTAATCTCCTCAAGCTCTTGAATCTGCAGTTTCCTATGTTTCCCTGCCCTGTGATAATCAAAATAAACTCTTTTAATGGCCAAGTATGATTTGTGTTCAAGTTCTACTGGAAGGCGACAAGGTTTTCCAAATACCATCCTATAGGGAGACATGCCTAAAGGAGTCTTATACGCGGTTCTATAGGCCCATAAAGCCTCATCTAATCGATCACTCCAATCTTTCCTATCCGATCTCACTACCTTTTCTAAAATACTCTTCACTTCCCTATTGCTTATCTTGGCTTGTCCATTGGTTTGTGGGTGATAGGCAGTGGAAATCTTTTGAGTGATATGGTATTTAGAGCAAAGGATTTCTAAGGTTCTGTTACAAAAATGAGTGCCTCTATCACTAATGAGAGTCTTCGGAAAGCCATATCTAAGGATAATATGAGATCTAGCATATTTAGCCACAGTTTGAGCATCATCTTTCCTAGTTGGTATAGCTTCAATCCACTTAGACAAGTAATCAACAAAGAGCAAAATGTAAACATAACCACAAGAAGGAGGAAAAGGACCCATGAAATCAACACCCCATACATCAAATAGTTCACACACATAAATAGGAGTTAGAGGCATTTGATTTCGAGAGGAAATATTACCAGTTCTTTGGCACTTAAGACAGTCCCTACAAAAATCAGCAGCATCTTTATGTATAGTAGGCCAGAAAAAACCAGATTCTATTACCTTATGGGCTGTCCTTTCCGGTCCAAAGTGTCCACCACTCTCTAAGGAGTGGAAAAAATTCAGAATAGAAGGAATCTCAGAGTTGTCTACACATCGCCTAACAATCTGGTCAGAACATATTCTCCAAACATAAGGGTCATCCCATATGTTAAATCTATCTTGAGACAGAATTTTTTCACGTAGGGACTTGGGCATATTAAGAGGAAAGGTCTTGGTAACCTTAAAATTTACAATTTCAGCAAACCAAGGAATTATAGAAACTGCCAACAGATTCTCATCTGGAAATGATCCTGTGAAATAGCTAGGATTCGATGGCGATCCTTCTAAACGACTAAGGTGATCAACAACTTGATTAAGTTTACCTGCCCTATCTTTAATTTCAAAATCAAATTCTTGCATTAAAAGAATCCACCGGATGAGTCTAGGTTTGCTATCCTTTTTGCTCATTAAATACTTAAGTGCAGAATGATCAGTGTGTAATTGACTTGGGCTGGGTCAAGGGTACAACTAGCATACTGGATAACATAAGAGGCAGTGC